AATAAAGTAAAGTAATTACATGATGTTTATGTTGACACGCAGGTCATAAATAAATTAAGACAACTCCTATGGCTCCTGCCGGCTGTCATACTCATCGACATGCAAGTCATGATTCCTATTACAAGAACATGATCATCTCATACATCACATATATCATTCATCACATCCTTTGGCCATATCACATCACATAGCATACCCAGCAAAAACAAGTTAGACGTCCTCTAATTGTTGTTTGCATGTTTTACGTGGCTGCTATGGGTTTCTAGCAAGAGCGTTTCTTACCTACGCAAAGACCACAATGTGATATGCCAATTGCTATTTACCCTTCATAAGGACCCTTTTCATCGAATCCGATCCAACTAAAGTGGGAGAGACAGACACCCGCCAGCCACCTTATGCAACTAGTGCATGTCAGTCGGTGGAACCGGTCTCACGTAAGCGTACGTGTAAGGTTGGTCCGGGCCGCTTCATCCCACAATGCCGCCGAATCAAGATTGGACTAGTAACGGTAAGCATATTGAACAAAATCAACGCCCACAACTACTTTGTGTTCTACTCGTGCATAGAATCTACGCAATAGACCTAGCTCATGATGCCACTGTTGGGGAACGTAGCAGAAATTCAAAATTTTCCTACGTGTCACCAAGATCTATCTATGGAGAAACCAGCAACGAGGGGAAGAAGAGTGCATCTACATACCCTTGTAGATCGCTAAGCGGAAGCGTTCAAGAGAACGGGGTTGAAGGAGTCGTACTCGTCGTGATCCAAATCACCGGAGATCCTAGTGCCGAACGGACGGCACCTCCGCGTTCAACACACGTACAGCCCGGTGACGTCTCCCATGCCTTGATCCAGCAAGGAGAGAGGGAGAGGTTGAGGAAGACTCCATCCAGCAGCAGCATAATGGCGTGGTGGTGGTGGAGGAGCGTGGTAATCCTGCAGGGCTTCGCCAAGCACCGTGGGAGAGGAGAAGGACTTGGGAGAGGGGGAGGGCTGCGCCAGAACATTGGTGCGGCTGCCCTCCCACCCCCCACATATATATAGGGGCAAGGGAGAGGGGGGGCGCAGCCTTGGCCCTTCCTCCAAGGAAGGGTGCGGCCAGGGAGGAGTCCATCCTCCCCAAGGCACCTAGGAGGTGCCTTCCCCCTTTAGGACTCTTCCTTTCCTTATCTCTTGGCGCATGGGCCTCTTGGGGCTGGTGCCCTTGGCCCATATAGGCCAAGGCGCACACCCCTACAGCCCATGTGCCCCCCGGGGCAGGTGGACCCCCTTGGTGGACCCCCGGAACCCCTTCGGTGGTCCCGGTACAATACCGATAAAACCCGAAACTTTTCCGGTGACCAAAACAGGACTTCCTATATATAAATCTTTACCTCCGGACCATTCCGGAACTCCTCATGACGTCCAGGATCTCATCCGGGACTCCAAACAACATTCAGTAACCACATACAAACTTCCTTTATAACCCTAGCATCATCAAACCTTAAGTGTGTAGACCCTACGGGTTCGGGAACCATGCAGACATGACCGAGACATTCTCCGGTCAATAACTAACAGCGGGATCTGGATACCCATGTTGGCTCCCACATGCTCCACGATGATCTCATCGGATGAACCGCGATGTCAACGACTTTAATCAATCCCGTATACAATTCCCTTTGTCTAGCGGTACGATACTTGCCCGAGATTCGATCGTCGGTATCCCGATACCTTGTTCAATCTCGTTACCGGCAAGTCTCTTTACTCGTTCCGTAACACATCATCCCGTGATCAACTTCTTGATCACATTGTGCACATTATGATGATGTCCTACCGAGTGGGCCCAGAGATACCTCTTCGTCACACGGAGTGACAAATCCCAGTCTCGATTCGTGCCAACCCAACAGACACTTTCGGAGATACCCGTAGTGCACCTTTATAGTCACCCAGTTACGTTGTGACGTTTGGCACACCCAAAGTATTCCTACGGTATCCGGGAGTTGCACAATCTCATGGTCTAAGGAAATGATACTTGACATTAGAAAAGCTTTAGCATACGAACTACATGATCTTGTGCTAGGCTTAGGATTGGGTCTTGTCCATCACATCATTCTCCTAATGATGTGATCCCGTTATCAACGACATCCAATGTCCATGGCTAGGAAACCGTAACCATCTATTGATCAACGAGCTAGTCAACTAGAGGCTTACTAGGGACATGGTGTTGTCTATGTATCCACACATGTATCTGAGTTTCCTATCAATACAATTCTAGCATGGATAATAAACGATTATCATGAACAAGGAAATATAATAATAATCAATTTATTATTGCCTCTAGGGCATATTTTCAACACTACCTACTGTGTGAACCTTGATAAGTGGACCTATGACTGCAAGAAATGGGACCTATGTGGTTGGCCATGCAACCATGTAGTTTCTGCCATTACAAGAGTGAAGGGACAGCCAGAAGACTATGTGCATGAGTTCTTCAAAAAACCATTGTATAAGGAAACATACAAGCACATCATCTACCCTGTACCAGGGCCTGACTGTTGGCCTAGGACACCAACTGTTGACATAGATCCACCAGTGTTCAAAGAGAAGAAGGGCAGGAAGCAAACAGCTAGGAGGAAGGGGCAATTTGAGGTCCCAACAAAGAAGGATACATCAAGGATGGCAACTATCACCTGCAGCAACTGCAATATGCAGAAACATAGGTACACCTACTGCCCTCAGCCCCTGAAGCCTCATCTTCAGGCAAGAAAGGACAAGCACAAGGTATGGAATATGCACACTATTGTCATTGTTTTGATCATTTGATTCATCCTAATTGTTGGGCTATGATGTGTGCTTTCTTAGACAACCAGAACTCACTACCATGGAGCTAGGGGAAGTTCTACTGCTACTGCATAGCCTGCAACCAGTGCACCACCTGCTGCATCTACTAGGGTTAGAAGAACAACTGCTACTGGTCATTCCCAGCCTGCTACATCTACCAGAGGAAGAAAATCAACTGCTACTGGTCATTCCCAACGTGCTACATCTACCAGGGGAAGAAAATCAACTGCTGCTTCTACTGGTCCTGCCCAGCCTGCTGCTTCTACAAGGCCAAGAAGAACAACTGCTGCTTCTAGAAGGGCAAGCATCACCAGTGATGCTTCTACTACTCCTTCCCAGGCTGCCACAAGAGCTTCAGGTTCAAGCAATGCAGCCAGCAGGAGAGGTGGAAGGCTGCAACTACAATAGAGGGAGCAACAGTAGGGTCTAAAAGGAAGAGGTTCCAGAGCACCAGGATGAGGGGTTACTTTTATGCCAGTGGCAACTAGTCAGTGCACAATTTGGCTGTTGTCTTTTGAACCGCCTGCCTTAAGTATTTCTAAATTTCAGAAACTATGCCTGAGAACTGCTATGTGTGAACTGCTATGTGTAATCAGTATTTAGCCTGAGAACTACTATGTGTGAACTATGCTTGAGAACTTGTTTGTGTTACCATGCTAAGTTTGAGAACTTGTATGGATGATAACTCTTATGGTTGAGAACATGTTTGTTTCATCAACAATTTACTTGTTTGATTTTATGCTTTTTGCTATTCTATGAGATTTTGGCATTTGATGGTTAGTTTGGAGTGGTGGTTTTGTCGAGCCCGAGCCACCCTAAAGCCTAAATAATAGGTTGAGTGGCTTTGTCGAGCCAAAGCCACCTTGAAGACTAAATGGTGGTTTCGGTGGTTTTGTCGAGCCCAAGGCACTCTAAAGCCTAGATTATAGGTTTAGGGTGGTTTTGTCGAGCCCGAGCCACCCTAAAGCCTGAATGATAGGTTTAGGGTGGCTTTGTCGAGCCCAAGCCACCCTAAAGCCTAAATGAGCCTAAATGATAGGTTTAGGGTGTTTTTGTCGAGCCCAAGCCACCTTGAAGATTTAATGGTGGTTTGGGTGGTTTTGTCGAGTCCAAGCCACCATACAACCTAAATGATAGGTTTAGGGTGGCTTTGTCGAGCCCAAGCCACCCTAAAGCCTAAATGATTGTTTTAGTTGGCTTGGGTTAAAATTCAATTTAGTTAAAATTCAGAGCCAATTAAGGAGGACAAGGAAATTTGGACTTGGTTTCTTAGCGAATTAAAAGCCTACCTAACACCATTAATCTATTTCCTACCTACCAGCCACCATTTCTACTATATAAGGCACCCCCCAATTGCCACACACAACATTCAAACCCAAACACAATCACTTCTCTTCCCCCAGCCGCCAGAGCAAACCCTTTGAGAGATGGATCTTGGAGAGGTTGTCGATAAAGAAGAACAGGTGCCCAGGGCCAGGCGTAGAGAGGCAAGAAGGAGGGAGAGAAGGCAACTAGCTCAGCGGATCCTTGCAGCACGCAACCGCAAAGACATGGAGCAGTTCGTGGAGGCATTCCCAGTTGGCTCCAACCCTATTGATGATGATATCATCTACTGGGCAAGGAGGAGGGCCAATTTCCATCCTTTTCAGGTTACTAGGATGAGGTGGAGTAGGATTCTGTACCTAGATGAATGATATGTTAAGTTTCACTGCTCCTAGATCTATCTTGCTATCTATCTATGTATCAAATCAGTTGATGAGTGCAATGTAATAAATCCTAGATGGTGAGTGCACTATGCATATTTTTGGATTATTAGGATTCTGTACCCTATAGGTTAAATGCATATCTTTGTGCTTTAGGTGATCAACAATTTACATCATGTAAGCATTTGCCCAATTTGGCCATGCCTAGTTGGTCTTGACCATTCACCATGTAGTCCAAAGAAGCAGATTCATAATAGCATAGCTCTTACTATACAAAGCTAACAACATTACATAACTGGGGTAGTTTTGCAGCTAGTCATTATATACATTACATAAATTAACTGGAGGTAGTTTTGCAGATAAACATCACAGTCATTACATAACTAGGGGATTCCCAAAATATACAACCCAAGGCCAGCTATATTGTTCCAAGGCCACATATTAGCTTAACATAACTGAGGTGATGAACAACATTGTTCACTCATCAAGGATTGACTTGATCTTGGCAAGTTTGTCCTTGTTGCCATGACCAGCTTTCATAAGATCACCCACCAGAAACTCCAGCTTCTTCTCCTCCTCTATTAGCCAGTCCCTCTCTTTCTTCATCTCATCCCTCTCCTTCCTTGTGTTCCTAATGATCTCCCCCTGAGACCTAAGAATGCACTTCATCTCCTTCAGCTCCCGAGCCAGCTTCTCCATCTGCTTCATCTTGCCAAAGTCAGCACTATCCTTCTCCTTACTGATAGCTAGCTTCTCCATGTCCTTGTCCATATCCATCTGCTTCTGCTTGAACTCTTCATCACTCATGACCCTGTTGTTCTGATCTGCCCAATCAAACATCTTGGTGACTTTCTCAACCAGCTGACTGTACTGATCCCCAAGTGTATCCAACTGCTTGTTCACCTTGTCCAACTCTTTCTTATACTTAGCATGGTCAATCACTCTGCCACAATTCTCCTCATGAAACATCTCCCATATCTTCTCCAAACATCTTTGCAGAATAGAAGGCCATGGGGCATCAACCCACTGAGCAACTCCACAGTCAATACCATCCTGCATCAAGTATTAGAAAATAAAGATGCTAACTTCAAAAATAAAATAGATGAGATATCCAGTGATTCAGTCATACTTGCAGATACAATAGACATTCAGGAAACTTCAAGTTCAAATCAATGTCCTAAACATGTTTCATTTACTCAATTTACTGACACAAACTGATGCTTGCAAAATCACTGTTAAAAACATGTTTCATCAACTACAGACAGTTCAAAATGACTGAATTTACTGAATTTACTACAGACTAACTACCACTAACACAATTAACTGAATTTAATGACAGCAACTATAGACAGTCCAAATTTACTACATACTAACTACCAAATTTACTGCAAACAGTGCAAATTTACTGCATACAAACTAACATTTGATTGTTGCAACTGCAGATAGTCCAAATTAACTGAATTTACTACAGACTAACTACCATTAACACAATTAACTGAATCTGCAGACTAACTACCACTGAATTTACTGACCTGAGGAACAGCACATCCATAGAACCTCCTCCCAGTGTCCCTTCCTTCAAATGCAATATATTTCATGCATGGGGCCAAGTGCAGTCTACATGTGATGCTTGCATCTACAACTCTACCACAGAAGGATGCATCTATAGTGGTGCCAGGGTTCGCCTGCATTGTAGCACACTAGTGAACCGCAGAAAAGATAGGAACTGCTCCAAACATGGTCTCAAATCGAAGAACACTTGAACCCTAACCCTAACCCTAGGTGCAAAGCAGATATCTTACCCAGTGCTGCTCCAGATCCATGCCGAGCAGCTCCTCCTCATCGCTGCTCTCCTCTCCATCCTTCCACGACGGCATCTTCTACGGCGGGGAGGGAACCGTGCCTCCGGCGGCGGCGAAGAACTCCGGCGGCGGCAACAGGGGACAGAGCAGAGGAGTGAGAGTGAGAGAGTGTGCGAGTGGAGTGGAGTGTGAGCGGCGGGGAGTGGGGGCGCTGTTTTGTACCGCGTGCCCTAACGGCCGTCAACCCACTCGCCGTCTGGCCTCGCCCACGTGGCACCTGACGGGTGGGCCAGCCTAGTCAGAAATCGTGTTAACTGCGGCAAACCGGTCATTTGTTTTTATTGAGAAAATTTACAAGTCAAGTGGTGGATTTTTGGGACGTGCAACAAATGTGGTGGCAATTGGATGCTTCAACTTCAAATGTGGTGGTTTTTTGCAATTCACTCGCTCAAAAACACACAAAAAAGAGAGAGCTTGTTATTGAGAATTTGTACGCATGTATTGCCTCAGTTCTAAGTCTTTTTAGATATTTCAATATAGACTACATACAAAGCAAAATGAGTAAATCTACTATGTTCTAAACTATGTTTATATACATTTTAGGAACGGAAAGACTAGATTCCATTCTATGTGGACGTGAAAGCGTCAGCGTTACCATTGAGAAAGAAGGCGCCAAAGCATGAAGCACCGAAAGTTGACGTCCGGCGTTTGCCCGTTTCGTCGCGCCCTGCTGCGTAAACTCCGAGCGCCAGGCGTACCAGCGCAAGCCGGCTATCATGCCATGCGTGGTAACGGACAGGCCATGTTCCCGCTGTTGGCCGGGGCTCCACATTCGGGCAGGCACTCCCGTCGTGCAGAAAAATAAGTTCGGCGCGTGGCACGGCACGGCTGCTGAACGTCATATGGCCACAGTGCCATGCTACCGATTGATCATCCCGGCCGCTGGTTCATGTCTTCTGCTTTGCTTTCGGACGTGTAAACCACTCGTCGCCGTACGTATCCATCGGTGCAAAAAGAGATGGCAAAAAAAGAGAAAGCGGCGCTTGCACGAGATGAGATGATAAAACCAGGCCGATGCTCCTGGCCGAGCCAAAGCTCTCAATCGTCGCTGTCGTCCTTCGAGGCTTCTCGTGGAGTAATTAACAGTAAGTCGTGAGCGCTGCATCATCGTTCTCGTGAAGAGCCTTGGGATGATTAGTGTATCCGGCGGGATCGTCGTGGTACCATCGTGTACCAGCCGCGTGCGCGAGGCGAGAACGTGCCATTGACCAGCACCAAGGATGGAAATGGCGATGCTCCTCCGTGCGAGCCCGCCTCACATGGCCCCTGACACCGCCGGACTCACGTGGCCGGTGGGACGAACCCGGCCGGCCTATCGCCTCACTTCATAGCTGGGCCGTGGGCGCACGTGAAGGTGCGGATAGAATATTGGGCCCGTGTAGGGTACCTACGTATACTGTCGAATTCCTAGATTCAATGTTTCAAAAAAAACCATAAAAAAGTCCAAATTTTCCTTGTCATTTCCCTCCGAGAAATAGGCAAGTACTTGTGAACCTTTGAATCTCAACTTTCCAACTTTTTCAAAGAACTGCTACAAAAAATACATTTTAAAACATGCACATATGAATTCTATATTTGCAATTGGCCATTGCGAGGAACGGAGCTCGTGTGGCGGTACAATGTCAGCTGACTAAACGTGCAAACAGGCGAGCTCCTCTTTTTTTTTGGAAAAGACCCATACACGTTATAACACTTCGCCTACGCACCGGTGTCGCCGCTCCCATAGTAGAGCCGCCCTGATCTGGTCGATGACAACCGGGAAGTTTTTGTGCGCGTGCCTCTAAGGACCAGCGCCTTGGAGCCGCAATCGTCACCACTGAACCATTGAATTGATCCAAAGTGTCTGGCATCCGGTCTCGTCATCGCACACGTACGACGATAAACCTAACCTTGCCGCCCCAAGGAGATGGCAGGAATATACGCCACACCTCCATCGACTCAATCCCGACGAACGAATTCGAGGAGGATCGAAATCCGGAAGACCAACTCGAAGATCAAGCGTCGCCGTCTACCCAAGCGCCACCCATGTGAGGACTGTAAAACCCTAACATAAACTACTAGTCGGAACCGAGGCATCGTGATCCTTCCACGCCACCAAACATCGGAGCGGCTGGCAAAGGGGGAGGTGAGTCCACGGACTGGCCGATGGAGCTTGGAGGGGAGGAGAACTCTCTCGTAGCTGCTTAGGCTCGTTCTAACATATCAACAAGTTTTTCCAATAATCATGTGATTTTAAGCTTTTATATTATTTAATTGAAGTAAAGAGCGTATCAGAGGGCACTCTAAGGTCGGGTCACCAATTTGCACCCGACTAACCCCAACGCGAGTTAGAAAACTCTCTGCTAATCTTAGTGCAATATAATGTTTATTTTAAGAAGAATGACCCGACTGTGAAAAATAATACATATAGATGCCCAATATGTTTTTTTGTTATAGCCATTCTTCAATAAAATGTTGATGATCTGGGCGGGGTTGATGGAATGAAGTATGGACCACCTCTAAACCCTAACACGCAAGAGAAGGCAATAAGCATCAAATGAAGCAACATCGTGTTATTTGCCACAGTCTAGGCATCTCCAACTAACAATTGCATTCGTGTGTTATATTCTTTTACATTGCATTCTTCAGTGTGTAATGTGTTGATGTCGCTTGACTGTATCATACGAACCGCTTGTAGGGAATCTAACTCAATCATCACCGGCAAATTACTTATCATCATGGCTTGCGTGAGGCCCTCCATACTACATGAATGTACTATTTTTTTTTTTTTGCGGAGAATGAATGTACTATATGTTTCTAGTAGTAAGTATGTGATTAATTAGGTTAACCTTAACCAAAATACATTATCTTCACCCCAGCGAAAAACGCATCGACATAAAGTAAACAGGGTATCTTCACCCCATTCCTCTCATCATACTACACGGAGCACAAAAGGTTAAAGCAAAGTAGGTTACCTTGGAATTTTGTTCCTACTATAGTTTTCACTTGTTCACGGGTACCTAGCCACGCTAATGATTCAGCCACGCGATTAGGTTGAGATCGTGCTTTATCAACACGCCGGTGCATCGCCCTTCCCAACGACAAAAACAAATATACTAAAAATTCCTGGAAAAAGGCAGAAAAAAAAAACTGCCAAGCAAACAAAACCGACGCCAACACTGGCCACGCCGCCCGAGGCCAATCCACCTCGGGATCAACGACCCTGCAGCAGGCCCCCGGGGGCCTCTCCCGCCTCGACCCGCCGGCCCAGCGGCCCGCCCCGATGGCGGCCACGCGGTGGGCTGCGCGAATCCAACGGCGACGGAGCGGTTAGCGGCGGGGCGGCCCACGTGGTGCGTACGTGGTTGCACGAGAGGGGGAGCGTGACGTGCGCGGCTTCCACGGAGGCGCAACGTGGGCGGGATCCTGGGCGTCGGTTTTAGCTTTGGGGGCGGCCTCTAGTGGTGGTGCCAACGACGTGAGGCTCGCAATGCTTTTCAACGGCAAAGCACTGATTGCTAGTGCTGCGTGGACAATGTGTGCATGGCTCAGTGGGGTTGGTGGGGCCCACCAGGAGTGATCCATCCCTGGTGCAGCATGGCAAGGTGGGTTTAGGGTCTATGGGTGCTTTTTTATTACCTTTTTTTTTAATGAATACCAATTTTTTTTATTACCAAATTTTTTGATAAAGGGCTATGGTGGACGGTAAAAGTTTGAATAATCTTGATATTGAATGTTCGGTATTAAGTTCAATGGAGCAAACATGTCGAATGAGTACGACCATTAGGGGCGCGATGATGCAAGGGGAGATGGGCGGGGGAATAAGCACCGAAGGAGGAAAACAGATGAAGACGGGAGATGAGAAGGGAAGGACGGGAAAGGGAGGAACAAATAGCTCATCAAACCGACCTTGATGTGGAGGACTGGCGATGACATGTGGCGGCGAGCTTGGACGAGGCTCTGGCGCGGACACTAACTGACGCATAAAGAAACAGATGACCAGGAGTGCGCCGATAATTTGATTTGTCTGGCGGTGGAAGGGAGGGGGCACCCTCTGAGGAGGTAGCACGACATGAGATAATAAGACTGAAGATAGGGGGATGATGAAATTGACGATGTGGATCACA